AAGACAAATGGTAATTTACTTAAGACCGTCATTTCTTAAGTATTTGGTGAATTATAAACAGCTTTACAATGTGGCGCAATTTCTCCTCTCTTTACCTTCCAGAGACGAGAAGTAACTCAACAGCTTCTTCCACCCTTTGCCTCAAGTTGTCCTCACTGGCCAACAGTAAAAGTAACTGAGCAGGAGACAGCTCTAACAGCATGCCGGTGATCTTGCTGGCCAGAGACTGAAATATAGTCAAACAGAATTGTAAATTTAGCTCAAATTACTTCATCACCTCAAGATGTACGTATCAATTCTCTATACTGTCTGCCAAAGTGTTCTTATAATGTTACATAAGATAATTCTTCTTTAAATCAAGCAACATATCCCTTGTTAGATCTAAAGTAGTTGCTAATTATTTTCCGTGTAATTTTGTATCAAGTTATGTCGTCCTTTATTTTCTCATACCTCCTTGTTCGAACGTTTTTGCTATCATTTTCTTCGTTAGTTACATCTTTTTTTGCACGTTTTTTGTACCATCTTATGGTTTTTAGTCAAAATAGCACATAAAAAAAGTCGTTTCCTTACAGGCTGCAATGCATGGACTCGAGGATACAGCCTCTCTCCTAAAGACTGCCTGTGGTACGGCAGTGGGTCACCATCGGGATCCTCTCCATCAGCGGTGCTGCTGCTGCCACTAAAGTGAAAAGCTCGTGCATCGGCTGAAAGCTGTCTTCTTGCATCACGTTCACGATCACGATCACGATCACGCTTGTAACGGTAACTTGTAGCACGTCTTATACGCTGAGTTATACCTGTTGATAGATCAATACATCATCAGTGTCTCTATCACGCAGAGAAAGTTGAAGCGTGCATCACGTGAACTATCACGATCACGCTTGTAACGGTTAATTGTAGAAAGTATCATGTGCTGAGCTTTATCTAGTGATACATGACATTATAACTACTTTTTTAATACACGAAAAACGGCCATGCATTCGACAACAAGAGTGAAACAGCTTCAACCGAACAGAGTTTTAATGATTTCTCGAGACATTCAAAGGGTTTGGTGAGTAAAAGAGAGCCGTTAATGTATGTCATCACCTCTTAGGCGTTCCCGAAGTTTAACCTGTGGTACTTGCTAACAACGTTCTTTCCACGATATCTTGTAAAATGGGATAAACCAATCTGTTAAAAAGTAACAACTATGTATAACAAATTCAACCTTACTTCTGTTATTATCAAGAGCTGGCAGCTTTTCTCCAGAAAGGAATGCTTCTCCCACTGCAGTGTAATAACTTCTCGCCACCCCACTCCCCTCCCCTGGTTCGTCCTTGAATGTAACCTTAACACGGTGTATAGTCATTGGACGAGACCTAGGACCGCGCCGGCCAAACTGTGTGTTTAGCTGTCTGATGGTTTGTTGAATGAGGATGGCACGGTCGCGTTCAACCTGGGAATATGAAAAAGGAACCATTAATGTCAATTCGTGTCGCTTATACGAGAAGCCTTAAACCAAACACACGCAAAAGTTAGTGTAACTGAAAGTGACAAATTGATTGACTTCTTCGCAGACAGCTTAAATGGTGGACTGACCGACGGACGGACTGATTGGCAGGTCAGGCGGAGGGTTGCATGATTGATGAACGGACTGACTTTGACTAGCTAACTGACTGACTGACTAGCTGACAGACTGTCCGTCTGCCTGATTGACTGACTGACTGACTGACTGGCTAACAGATTGACCGACTGACAAATTAGCTCTGACGTTTGTTTTCTCATACCTCAATAGTCAAGTCACGCTGGGTGGAGTTCCTGAGCCGCTCCATCTCTCGCCTAAACTTGGTCTCTTTCACATCAAACCTGCCTAACTCGTTCAACACAGATGAAGGCTCAGATCCAACGTCTTCCAGAAACACCCGGCCAAATAACTCCACACATAACCTCCAGCGACCCAACAGGGAGTTAGCAGAGGTTCCACTACAGATGACAGGTTTGAAAGAAGAAGCAGAGACGGTGGGTTTAGCAGCTGATTCGGAAGTTTTGCCACTTGACGTCGAGGGTTCAACTGAAGACTCACTCTCTGTCACTTAAATCATGAGAATTTGAGAAACATTTTAACTATGTCTAATCCAATCTTCCCAACAAAGTAGTACTCCCAACGTCTTTAAAGGCCTAATACTGCATCAGTTGATGTTAAGATAAGTCAATCGAGAAGGTCTGCGTGGTCTTGATAATAGAAATCTTCGACCTCCACTTAAAGAGCTCTGAAAAACGGCCACTTAATTGTTGCAGTTGACTAAACGGGCATTTTGGACAAACTAGTTTGTCTTTTATTCATACACCTAAATTCGGTGGAAAGACGTACTGGGAAAGTACTCGTTTTTAATGACACAGCGAGACTGGAACTTGAAATTGTGATTGGGTAGAAAAGGAAATGAAATGTCTCATTGTGCTGTCCGCTTAAAAAGGGTTTCTAGTAACAAATACGCGCACTCTTGGCGTCCGCTGTAGTACAAGCTCATTTTACGGTAAAAATGGGGAGAAAGAGGGGAGAAAGAGGCGGGGGGAGTTTGGGACTTGAACTATGTGCGCTTACTACAAATACTGCTTAATATGGGTTTCACAGTATTTCAGAAGCCCTTACCGTTCACATCCATAGTAGAACAGAGCTGTCCGGTGGCGGCAACACTGGTCGGTCTCGCCGCACAGAACACTGATTCAGAAACTTCCCTTGACAAAGTCATGCTGCTAACCATGGGTGCACCACCACAGCCATTGTCTGAATGCTCATGCACAGTACCAAACATCTGCTCTCTACGTGCTGTAGGGTGCAACAGGTGTGGCTGGGAGGCAAGAGGAAGGGCTTCCTCTACAGGAGCTTGGTACGGGTCTGGAGGGGTACAGCCCAGTACGGTGGTGGAGTCAGTTCGCACAAAGAAGCTGAAATCAAAACATATTGTGTACTGATCATGAACTTACGATTACTCCCTACACGTAGACAACTTAATAGATAACATGCAAGCATTAAGAACTGCCCAAACCCAACTCCTTCTCCGAACGCTAATACAACCCAGTGCTTTCTTCCGAGACATCGCTTCAGATACAGCATATTTTGCTGAAGTTTTTGGTTCCACGTTATTTGTGCATGGGGCTACGACGACACTGATTTCATGCTTGACACGAACCTTTAAATTATCTGATGTGGAGACCCAGCCAAAGAGTTTAAAATTTACATTGTAACCTGTCAACTTTCACGTTCCTTTTTTTTAAGTGAGTGTTTCACTGATTCGTGACGGAGTGCAAGGTTAAGATCTTAGGCCCATAAATGAGACAAACCTGTGTAAATTTCCAGGCAAGATTGGAGTAGGCATGGGTTCATCCTCAACATGATCTGTATCATCTTCATATTCATCACCGTCCCTCTTGAAACTTGCACTATCTTCATCATCGACATCATCACCGCCTTCCTCGTCGTTGGGTGTGTCAGGGGTAACAGTCTTCTCTGCACTGGATCTGTTCGCCTGTGAACTGGCGTTTGGGTTGTTACGTATGTAGTACACCAGAGCATCCAGAACATAGGCAACATGACGCAAGGAAGAAACATCCAGTTTGGGGAGAGAGTCTCCGTGTTCGTTTGAATGGCCTCTCAAAAGCGAAAGAACGTATACCAAGAAGTCTTGTCGACCCGTGTCCAGGTTACTACTGGTGGCTCCATGTTTTCTGTTTCAAAAGGTGAAAAAGAACATTGGCAAAAATAACTACAAAACAAACGTAACTTGAAGAGGCTAAAGGAACCGAAAGTTCTGCCTGATGTCAAACGCCGTTGTCACACATGTCTTCCGTAACTATATCAGAGAAAGCTGCGTGGAAGAGCTCCTGTTTTGAATGTCGAACTCTCCCTGGGATTCTAAACCCCTTCCCCTTAGCATTAAAACAAATCTTCCCTTCTGCCAGCCAGTACGTCAATAACTTCCTTACCCCTCTAACGGAGAGCAATTATATTTGTCACTCTATTCATTTCCTATTATTTGAAAAAAATAAAAATCTGCTTGTTAATTCTACCCTCTAATTGCAACACTTTTCCTTGTAATTCAGTTACGAGAACGTGTTGTTAGATAGCGATAACAACTTCTACCTGATAAGTTTGAATATTCTCATTACCTTTCTGTTGGATAATGTAGGGAGAAGTTACATCTTAATAATTTCCGAGAATTAAAGGGTTAACCCAAAAATAACACTAGGCTAAATACGAACTGTTTTTAATCACTTACCGTCTAACCACAGATCTTTTTCGTTTGTTTTCCAAAGCTCTCAGAAGCGTCGGGTCGTCACGTGTTCGCCTGTCTTTGTTGGCTTTAGGGTGAAACTCGTGAAGTGGATGGGAGGGGTGGGAAGGGTCGGTAGCTGCTGACAGAGACAGCCCAAACCTAAGCTGAGCTTCAGTGCAATCTAACACTACTGCTAGCCAGTTCCAGGCTGCCTGAAGCTGCTGATCTGCCTGTACATGGATCTCTGCTAAGGCTGATGTGGTGGGTGTAAGGCTGTCAGTGGGGAGGGCAGACGGGTCCTGAGCAATGTTGAGCAAGTTGGTGACCTGGGAACCAGAAGGATTCAAGGAATTCACTTCATTCAGTTACTTGCCACAAATACTGTGAACTACATCGCACAGTCAAAGATATCTCTGTTAGAGCAATTTTCTTTGGAGTGCCGTAGCCAATAAGGGATTGCATAGATTTGGCCACACTACACCCTCTGTTTGGTTTACAAAACACGAGTCACTGTCTCCATCAACAAAAAACCACTGAACAAAATGGCGGCCTGATTATTAGCGTTTCCCCGCGCTTCAGAATGTTTGCTTGTATTTCCCATGAGCCTCCAATGGCTGCTTGAGTAATTATCTATGTACCGATTGGCTGGCGAGATACTTGGGTTTTGGTTTTGGTTGAACGACACTAGATCAAAACTCACTGTACAATGATGTTACGCAAGCAACACACAGAAGTAATCCACTACCATAACAGTAAAATCTGCACTTGTGCATATCTTGTTTCAAACAACTCGACCCAGTCCACTTACCTCCCGGACAACAATTCCAAAGGCTCGTGCCAGTGCACTGGCCGAGTTACTCATACTAAGAGCACCACTGGTCCCAGTCACTTCACTGGAGGCTGCCGTACTGGCAGCTGCAGCATTGCCACCACTTCGTCTGAGTGAACTGGAATCAACGTAAATAAACCCTGTACCGCTGGTGGGCTGCGGAGTAGCTGCACTGTTACCTGCAGCTCTTGACTGGGAGTTCTTGGCTCGTATGGCCCACTGCATAGC